AAGAAAGTTTTCATAGTTTTCTTGTTTCTTAATATTGTAGTTTCTAGAGTAAACAAGATAGATCTTACAATATTCATGTATCGTTAATTGTAAGTCGAAATTAAAATAAAAGTCGTTGAACTTTACTAAAATAATATATTTAAATTAAGCAGACGAACATTTAACATTTGAACGTAGAAAATAAATAGCACAAAACTACACAATACACTTGCAAAGATTTCTTAAATACATTTATTTAATAGTTAACAAGTAATCATTGCGAAAAAAAAATTATCCAAACAATTATATCTACTAATTATAAATGCGAAAGTTTAGATGTATGGATATTTGTTAGAGTTTGTAGCCTGAACTGCTGAATGGATCTCGATGAAATTCGGCATAGATGTAAAAGATAGTCTGGAAGAACACACAGGCTTATTACTTTTTTTTTAATTCCACGCGGACAAAGTCGCGGGCGAAAGCTGGTTACAAATAAATGCCTTTGGTGAGATCTTCACTAAACATCAGTTGCAATTTTTGTAAAGCAAAAGTAATTGCGCAGTTGTAGTCTTTTAGGCCAGATTTCCACTAGCGCCGAGCAGCCGCGCCAATTCTATTTTCATCAGCAAAATATATCAAGTGCGTTTCCGCGACTATGTTGAAAAATGAGTTTATTACACCTACTAAAATATGAAATATCAATCCTGCATTCGATTAAGTAATCTTTACTTCTCAGGCTTTTTTCAATAGTAGTGGTCAGTTCAAATGATCTAAACATTTAATTTCCTAGAGATGAAATCTATGTCTTGAGAGTTTTAGTAAACTGTAGAATCTAATCCCTGTTCAACACTAAGCGGGAAGAAATCAAAGATGTTGAGAACTTAATCCGGCAGAGGGAGCGTTGAAAGCATTTCTAAGAGAGTTTTATTTACGAGGAAAACTCTCGAGAAACACTTATCTTTTTGTAACGAATAGTATGAAAATCCCCTCTTTCAGATTTAAGATTAGGATTTTAAACTACATCGTTTTCGCTACCAATAAAAAAAATCATAGATAAATATATGCAAGGTATACTAACAATAGTTAAAAAAAACTACACAAACAATTACATTAGGATAATTATCATATTAAGATAGTGGAACAGGATAACTTACTCGTAATTCAGGTTACAAATGTTAAAACAAAAAGTATTTATCATTGACTAAACTGTCGCACAACTGATGTGCGATTGTCGATTGTTTCGCAGCCAAACCAAATATTTAGTTGCACAATTATCGAGTAGCGTAAGCACCTCCATATAAGCACGTAGAAATTAATGCCCGACTAAACAGTTGTGCGATAGTTTAGTGCAACGTATGCGTGCTCTTGTCATTTCTTAATTGGGCATGACACTTCAGTTTCCTTATTCATATTTTAACGTTCAATAACACACTTCATGTATGGCTTGTTCCGTTTTCTTTCTCTTTTTTAGCTTCTTCGAATCCCTTGACCAGGTTTTCTAGGATAAATCTTATTGTGATTTTATAAATATTCTCAATGTTTGGTGTATATCTATCACCTAGAGTTGTCTTAGCTGCGTCTAGGAACGGCTTTTCGATTTTCTGAAAAGGAGTTTCAATATAGTTTATATTACAGAAGCGCCAATAGCCTAATGGGTTGGGGTATGGACTACCGATCTTGCGGTCAAGGGTTCGGATCCCGCCATTCGACTATTGTCGTGAACCATATCCTAGCACAAGGTCAGAGCTTAGTTGGAATGGTTAAAGGAAATATTAGTAAATTAACAAAAAATCTACTAATATGTTTATAAAAAAAATCTGTTTATTAGAACAGTGTTTGCAAAACTAGCAAACCGGCACAGTTTCGCTTGAGTGGCAAAGAAGTTACGTCTTAGATCTCTTTTGTCATATCCATACCCTTCCGGTTAATGTAAAATATGGCCTATGTTATGGGTAAAGTAGCTTTCGAAAGACAAAGGAATCTTTGACTTCGGTTCAATAGTTTTGAAGCATATTCAATACAAACAATCAAATGTTTCCAGTTTGTAATTTTACTTTAAAATTAGCTTCGGTTTTTAAATTCGAATCTAAGATACATTTTTCATTAGAGTGACTACACCATTTTGAACTCAATTTCTGAGTTAAGTATAATTTCCAATAGAATATTCGCAACTTCTTCAAATAGCAAAGCAAGTCGCACTAGTGGAAACAGTCTTTCAACAGGAATATAAACACTTACCATAAAATTATCAGCAACAAAGCCAGGGACTTGCGTATGCGTGCTCCCAACATGTTGGACGTAAGCAAAGAAGGAGTCCATATCGCCCAGGCCCTTAATACCATCGTCTAGTGTGTGCATGACCTTGGTCGCATGTTCAGCCAGCTCTGTTGAGCTCACCTGTGCCTCTACAGTCTCTAAGTGACGGAAGTCCTCAAACAGATGTAGTAGCTCTTCGTTCTCTTGGAACAATCTGGAATGTAGATTTTACAATATTTAGACGAGGCAAGGACTGTTTAAATTTGGTTAAAAATTCTTTTCTTAATTCTACACGAACAAATAATAAAAAATAAATAAAAATAAATAAAACTAGTAATAATGTAGTAACTAGTTTGTTTTTTTAAATGTCAATTACTAAACAATTAGATGACTTAGCATTGGGTAAGTTAAAATTAAATTTCTCTTTACTTGGGATATCTCTGACGATGAATTTTTTTAGAATTTACCACGCGTTGCAATTTACTTGCCGAGTATATTTTTAAACGAGTAAAATCGTGTCTGTTTTTAGAAATATAAATCTACATAGTGGGATTCGAACCTAGATCCTGCGATTTCATATAACCTACACGTCTATTTAACCTCTGAACCATCGACGTGATACAATCTCAATACGAAAATAATGGAAAGTTTATTATTCTATCGTCGATACGCGACGTGACCGAAATGAAACCGGAAGCGAAACTATGAGGCCGGGAAATTGGCAGGTGGAAGATTAAAGGCCCACTTTGATCTATTAATGCACTTGGAACAATAATTTTGCTATGATTTCCTACACGTGTGGTTTTGTTTACTTGTCTATATAATGTGCTATATGACGCATTTTAGGATAACAAAGAAATCTGCCCACGAAATGGTTTTCAGTTTTAAATAAATAAAAGATAGATGGTGTTTATAAGTGTACAATAATATTCAGTGTTTATTAATTTATTATAATTATGACTTGTAATTCGATTACCGATAAAATATTTGTATTTGTATTTTCAGAAATTTTTAGAAAAGTCTATTTTTATATCTCAAAGATTAAAGATTGGATTTTATTCTTTTATCAATAAAACTCTTCTATCACAAAGATTGCTTTTGATTTATTTTATCTTCCCAACTACGAAAACAAAACTTTTTATTACTAATTAATATTGATTGAGTACTCTATGAAACTAATAATATCTACAACTAGAAACAACTGCTAACAACTAATATAATTACAAACAACATGTGCAGTATATATATAACTTTAAACTGTCGTGGTTTATACAAATGTAATGTTCGTAAGATACGGGTTTCTTATTTAATATCGGGAGCTAAAACAATTCAATCGTGGTAAGAAACCCGTATCTTACGAACATTATATGTGCTGTACAGTTCATACTTAATTCTAGAATAAGCAGATTTCCTCAGACTGGGAGTTTGTAGTGGTGAACTAAAAATTGTAGAAATTGATAGCCAAACGTATGTAAAATCTCAAGAACCATATTAAAAGTAACAAGAATGGTACTTTATAACTGCATTTTTTGTAATAACTGATTTCATATGTAAAATGAAAGTAATTAGATTCCATTTAACGCAGATAGATAAAAAAACTTCATGAGTACTACTAAGAGAAAATCGTACTTCTTACTAATCTTACTAATATTATAAATGCGAAAGTTTAGATGGATGGATGTTTGTTAGCGTTTGTAGCCTAAACAGCTGAACGGTTCTCCATAAATTTGGCACAGGTTTAGGGCATGGTCTGGAAGAACACATAGGCTACTTTTTATCCCGGGAATAGTTACGGTTCCCGTGGGATTCATTAATCATCTATAAATCTTGGATATTACTAATATATTGGATAATTCAATTTAGAAATTGATTGTGTAGACACAACATCACCATCATCATCATCATCATCATCATCATCATCATCATCATCATCATCATCATCATCATCATCATCAGCCTTTGTTTGCCCACTGCTGGGCATAACTACTGAACCATTAAAGTAAATTACACATGCCAGAAAAATAGACTACCCCTACTAACTTGTACTAACTCAACTCTCTTCTTACTACGAACGGCGTTAGGTTAGTACGAGTTATTACTTACTAAGAGTACCTGGCAGTCCTGCGATTGGTATGACATGAGATAAGTCTGTGTCAAGCTTTATACCCTCCCTCATGATATGCTGCACGTGTGTTAGCTACATGTGTGACAGAAGTCACAAAATCGACGTCTTTTGTCACAATAATTTCATAAGAAACAATTGAATTATTGAGTCACGTCATTGGGTAACACGTCCAAATATCACCGTCATTGATCACCGCCGGCCATTGTGCGGCGTGCGCGACTTGCATATTGACACCTCTGACAACGCACAATCATGACAATTAAACCAACGGGGAAAATGGACGGATAAAACTATAGACTTATAACTACACTGTGATATGCAAAATGACCTCTATGCCCAGACATTAAGGGCCCGTTCGGACAGATCAGGTCGGGAAGCACAGCAGATACTTTATCGAAAAAAAGTTGAATGAAGTACAATATTATTTGCGAGTAGTAATAGTAACTTATTGTTTTTTAATGTTTTTTAATTGTAAATAGGTAAAAATTTTAAAATGTATTGATGATTGTATTATTTTATATTGGAACTGTTAGTATTGTTTTTGAAATAAAATAAAGTGAACAAAGTCCTTGGATTCACCAAGCCAGGCCGAGAACGACGGGGCGGCGAAAAGCCGCCCAAAAAAAAAAAGTTTTGCGATAAAAATCTGCTTTGCTCTACACTCCGGTATGTGTACGGACCCTAAAAATTGTTGCTGTAATATTTTGTTGATAAGAATATTAAATAATGTTAAACCTTCACTACCATCGTAATAAGAAAAGACGATAGTTATTTTCCTAGCTTTTATTAGCCTAAAGCTATTATATCTCAAGAGTTATACATTGCATTGCATGTTTTCATGCAATTCATAACAACTATATGGTACATTTTTACCTGTTTATCATATTATCTTACTCAATTTTTAGATGAGAATTTGAGGGTTTTTTAGTTTAATTCTTGCTCTTGTAGTCGGTAACTCAACTTTTAATTAAATATACCATTTATTACTATTTCCTGATAAAATATTAATTTGTATAAATCATTACCATCTTATACACTCGTTAAATAATCGTTATAAATTGATTTTTTAATTGGCCAGTAGCGCCGGGAATACAATTTTTGTCGTAATTAATTTCCTTTTGTTCGCTTCGTTTTTTGAGAGAAACCTTAACCAGACTAATTATTCTTGAAGAATATTTGTAATATTATGTTTTTTGAAGGTTTTATGTTATTTGAGATTACAAAACATTATACAGTGTAATTAGAAATGTTTGGGATATCATCGATGCGTCAAATGGAATTTTTCTAGAACCAAAAATGTGTCAACATACACTCCTATTATCTATAACTAGCTATTTTTCGCGACTTTGCTCGCGTTAAATTAAAAAAATATAGCCTATATTACTCACAAATAAATTACCTTTGTAATGGTGAAAGATTTTTTGAAATCGGTCCAGTAGTTGTTACGTGAATCGAATACAAACAAAAATAAAAAATCTTTCCTCTTTATAATATTAGTATAGATAATAAAGGCGGGGTAAGCAAATAATAAAAAAAAACAATTACTTGACAAATAAAATGATGCCGGTTTTCTCGATTTGTCTATATATTCCTTTCCAGGACGCCAGCATGCAGTACTGCTGTTTAGCAGACAGAGGCGACCTAGGGTCGGCGGTCGGCGGAGGACGCGCCATGGGGTCGCCTGTGAACTCCGACGCTGCGAGTTGTGATAATTTACAACCCATTATTGGAACACACTGTTTGACAGTTCAATTTTTTTTAATTAGCTCAAAGGCGATTTGGTCAAATTAAAAAGGTTGAATTTAATTATGTTTTTGTAATTTGTTTTGTAAATATCAAGAGTTTAATAATTTAATTACTAATTGAATCAAAATTTGATATTTTGTATTTTATTTAATTTATTATTTTCACTTTTATTAGCAATCGCACATCACAGATTATTATTGTCACATTGAATTAACTTTTTAAATCACTATTATTGAAAATTGGCACTTTTTTCATCACTAACAACTCGTTATTTTTTAAATAGCGAACCTAGCAATTGTCTTTTTTTTTTCTGACGTAGTGATGCGCGCGAAATATTTTTTATTACTGGCCATGTAGCGACGTATGTCTAGTGATGGGACACGTGACTATGACTTTAATAAACAGACGTTAAATAACCTAAATCTTCTGGTTAGCATATCGCTATTGTTAAATTTAAAATCGCTTACGAAATACGCAGCTATCGAAATAACCGAAGATATTTTTAAAAACAAAACAGCTATTAGATGAAAGATATGTTTATAGAAACAATAACAAATTCGATAGGTATTTTTCTAGAGTGAATGATTTTTAAACAAATGCGTCATATTGCAAAACAGTAGAGTTAGCGATTTTTTTAGTAAGCCTGTGTTTTATTTTTGATTTTCCTAAAAGTATTGATTGTTCGAAGTAAATTAAAACGAAAAGTACTTCATATTCGGTTTTAGCGATTATTTCGAATTTTAAGAAATGTTCAATAATATTTTTTTTCTTCATATTTTTAATTATCGACATTGTTAAACACACATCACTATTCCCTTAGCAGCAAACGCATTTTATGACGCTTGAATCGATTGTGTGATAATAGTTTTCCTTTTTTGAAATTATGGTCCACATACGTCATTGTCGAGTGACATTTGCGTTGCATTTCTTAAGAATTTTGAATCTTAACACCTTTGTGTATGGTTCATTTTGGAACATTTTATTTTGTTCCTTAATCGCGGTCAATGTTTTAATGTTAACCACTAAAAAAATGAATACCTTGGTTAACCAGAACCATAAGAGGTGTGTGATTAAAAGTAACATGTTTTTTATGATTTATATTGAGATGTGATCAAATAAATAAGGTTAAGCAGTTTCATTAAACTCATTAAGAGAGGGCGTACACTTTTGACTAAAATATCGAACAACGTTATGCGATTGTCGATTGTTTCGCAGCCAATTCAACTGTTTAGTTGCACAACTGAAAATCGAGTAGTATGCGCACCATATAACCTCATAGGAATCAAAGCGGGACTAAACAGTTGTGCGATAGTTTAGTTTTAGGTGTGCGTATGCTCTAATACGTATTAAGTTTTTAACTTTTAATGAAGTTTTTATAAGTATGTTTATAAAAGGTGGTAAAGAATACATTTAAATTATATTTATTTATGTTGTAATTTTTATTTTGTGGTTTAAAATAAAAAAAGTAAATGTAAGTGAAATAATTTGTTAGACAGTTATAAATAATTTTATTTTTAAACCGAAAGATACATTTATTTTTACACACAGATCGTATCTTTTGATACAAATTACAAACACACATATTTAATGTTCTTATACACTATATCTTAAGCGTTCCACTAAAACATAATTTAAAATATTATTATTTACTAAGGAAAGGGACACTAATAGATGGTTTACTTAATAAATAATTTATAAATAATAAACAAACATATTAATAATTTCTTAAAATAACAACAAAAAAGATTAACATAAACATGAAATAATTTGTTAAATCTGTAAAAAGGTACAGTCGTAAACAGTGGTAACAATTTCATTAATAAATAGATTAAAATACATGTATCTGAAAATACAGCTTCGAGTTAGAAGTCTTTATTTATTTTTATCTATTACGTAGTTTACATAAGGATACATACAAGCATGTATTTTAAAATATGTTCTTTAATCATTAGGATTTATGTTCTTGATTTTAATGAGAACATAATTTTTAATGTTATGTTCTATGTTGATACAGGTATAACCATAGTGGGGACTTATTTTTACATTAACTAATGGCGAATTTATAGTGACAGAGTATGAAAGCTTTTTCATTAAAAAGTAATTAGTGTAATTGAAAGAAAAATACGACGCGTGTCACATAGGTATAAAGAAAGGCTTTCAATGCAAATTATTGTGACCGCAACGGCTCTGTGCGTACAGTTCAAACAAAACCGTTACCTACGCAAACATTCCAACTGAAAATTTGTTTTTCCTGACGTAAATCTTTGTTTACCTCAACCCGTAAATTTCACCCTGTTTTTTATATAAACAAGAGCGGATAGTTTCAAAGTGAACGTTGTTGAAATGAAATAAAATCAATAGTACACTAAAAACATTTTTTTTTCACATATACGAGTAGTGTCAATTCGTACGCTTTTGTCTACAGTTGAAAGGTTTTATAATATGATTGTTTACCTACGGCGTTTTTCAAATGAGGTTATTAATGCTAGAATTTACGTCTTTGATGATCATGAAAAGGTATTAATTACGATATGTTATTGTAATTAAATACATTTAAACTTATTGTATATTATTAGAGATGTGACGTGAAAATGACTAAATTTATATATCTGTTGTTTTTTTCTTAGTTACATGTTACCAGAATAAGACTACAAAGAACAGCTTTGATCAAATATATATTTTTTATTCATCTCACATATTTGTTTCATATGTTGTAAATAATAAAGTCGAAGATCAGTTCTATGTATTTGAGTTTCAAAGGGATTTCCTCAACTTATTTGACATTTGCTTTGTTTTCACAAACATATCTCTTTAACATAAAGGTGGATTCTTTAGGCAAATAAAACGAAAATTGGAAACTGTGTACACATGTTATACATTTTTATATGGATATCCTTTAGTTATAAGACCTCTGGGTATAGTGTCGATAGTACACGTAGATTACATTATTATATCGATATCGGTATGCTACCGATGAAAAATACGCGTCGATATTTATATCGACATCGATATTATTTTCTCATTTCACACATCAACATTACTATTCGCATTATTGTAAAGACTAGAAAAGATTTCTTTATTTCACATGCTACTTATATAAAAAGGTCTGCATCTGGACTAAATAAATATAATAAAAATTAAGATTAATAGTGAATAAACATTTTCAGCACCTTAAAAAATTAAAAACATCGCACAGACAAGTAACTCTACCATTTATATTCACATATTATTTAAGCGCCCTTCAATTATTTGACTACATTTTATTCCTACATCGTGGGTCTTTTTCAAACCAATATTTGCTTAGGTTGTACACACAACGAGCCATTATCGCAATTTAACTTACAAACGAAGATTTGCGTAAAAATATCAATGATATTAGACTTGCTTCGAATATTTATTTAATAACAAACGAAAACTGACTTCGAAACAAAATTGTCTGACTTTTGATGTGCTTTTTTAGAACTCAAAAACTATTGTGTAGTTTTCGTTTTAAAGTAAGTAGGACTAAATTGCAGCTGTTCTTTTATATATAAAATAATAAAAAATATTACGTAAATCGAATCAATGTACATAATACACCAATCGAATTGTGAACCTACTTTTTGAAGACGGTTAAAAATAAACATGCATTTATCAGACTTTAAAAAGGGGTTGGCAGTTGTAATAATATAAGTATGCTCTGCTAGTATTAATTAAAAACTTAATAGTATAGTTACAAGCAAAAATTTATTGGGCGTTGTATGGTAAAAATGCTTTATAAAAACAAATGCCACATTGACTACTAAATACAATAATTTTCACTAAATACAACACTACGGAATTCTCTTAATACTGTTTATAATACTTATCAAGTAATGCATTGACATAAACGCGTAACATCAAATAAATCTAAAAATTTCTCATCGACTCATAAAAGTTTACAAAGTACTATCGCGAAGAAAAGTGTTAACATCGACTATACACAAATTATTCACATTTCATATACATAACAGCTAATTGAAAAAACGCATTAGCGTCTCAGACCGACGTAAAGAGTTACATCTTACGAGATGTAACTTTTTCGTTCGGTCATATAGAAATTGACACATTTAACGTTCTAAATTTTGATAGTTGTATTTGGTTGTGGATTTGAGGTTAGGTTTCCGTTGCTAGTAATACTTTGGTTCACGTCGCATTGCCGGGGGCTGCTTTCTCGTAGCCCTCTATAAGAGTCTCTAGGATGAACTTAATTGTAATTTTATAAATATTCTCGACGTTGGGTGTATAACGATCGCCGAGCGTGGCTTCCACGGCCGCTAAAAACGGCGCCTCGATTTTCTGCAACAAAAACACTGTGATTAATGGTGACAAAAACAATAAAAAGTTCTTGACTTGTGCATTATTCAATCGCGTTAACTTTCATTAGGGCCTATCCCACCACTCGCTGATAGAGGCTGAGATAGCTTAAAAATGATGTCATTGTCAGATAAGGTAAGAAAATCCGATATTTTCGTCACATCTTACTAATATTATAAATGCGAATGTTTAGATGAATGGATGGATGGATGTTTGTTAGCGTTTGTAGCCTAAACGGCTGAACGGATCTCCATGAAATTTGGCACAGATTTAGAGCATAGTCGGGAAGAACACATAGGCTACTTTTTATCCCAGGAATAGTTACGGTTCCCGTGGGATTCATTAATTTAGTTTTTTAATATTTACTCGATCATTCTGCAATGGTTCAACATATCTTATTGAAATTTGGCACAGATATAAAACAAAGTCTGGAGTACACTTGGGATAAGCTTCATCCTCGAGAAATGTCCGGTTTCCGAGGGATACGTAGCTATTTTTAATTTATATAGTGCGTATGTTTTCTAATACTACGCGGACGAAGTTGCGGGCAACGGCTCGTATTTCATATTTTACACTTTGGATTGTTATCAGATAATTTACAATTTGGTGGGACAGGTCCTTAATGACAAGTATTTGATAACCTAATAAAATTAATCTTGGATATATCCATATACGTTATAACGTAAAAAAACAGTACGATCTCTTTGAATTCATCTAACAGAATGAAGATTAAGGAATCTAAGACGAAATTATGATTATAACTCAGTCCGCAGAAAATTACAAAAATAAGTTGCAAGTGTTCTTCCAGACAATCCTCTACATCTATGCCAAATTTTATCGAGATCCCGTCAGCAGTTTAGGCAGTATCTCTTACAAACATCCATCCATCTAAACTTTCACATTTATAATATTACTCGTATGCCGATGTTGATTATGTTAAACTACAGTTATTTTTATGAGGCGATTTGTCTCCCACGAGTGTCAACACGTACGCCATTTCGCTACACTCTAAAAAGGTCGAACCTTCCTTTATTGGATAGAGCTTTGCGAATTGACATCGTAAGTCTACACACGTTCATTGTACAGCCATGAATTTATATTTGGCAGCTTCGATAATTGTCACTGGAACGATTATTTTATTGTGCGGTTATGTGACAGATGTGGGAGGCAAAGACGGAAGCGGTATCCTCAAATGACCAATGTCCATTAAAAATGTCAAACAACACAACCTATACGCTTACGTTGTCTTGAGTCTATTAAACTTGAGTCTTTTCCACGTTTTTGATAGAAAAGACAAAAGAACGGCGATGGAATAGGGCAGAATATTCTTTACCAATGTTGAGGCGTACGTCGATAGAGGTAGAACTAAAAAGTGACAACCAAGAAGGCATTGATGACTGAGATGACGGATGATAGATTAACCTGGAGGACGAAACCTTGATGCGTATTACTAGAGTAGGATAATGACATGGAAAAGATGATCAAATAATTAATCAGGAGCAAGCTAGTTACTGTCATTTGAGTGTCAGTTATTTGTAGGTTGTAGAAATTCTTAGCATTTTTCCGGCTCTAAGTTTTTATGCTTACTTACCAATCTATTTGTATAAGTAAGCCAAAACGATCAAGAAGGGAGTGATGACTGAAATGACGGATGATAGAGTGCTTTGGAGGACGAAAACCCGGTGCGCTGACCCTACGGGAATAGGATAAGGTAGGGAAGATGATGACCAATCTATTTGTAATAGTTGCTAATATATGAATGCCATAAAAATATTTCAATAAGTACTGTATTGAAAAATAGTAAAATCTACGATGAACCCTAATAAATAATAGGGAAGCGAAGGCAAAAAGCAATATCGAAATAGGAAAACTAATGTAACGATTATCATAAATCGAGCTATAAATAAAGAATATATTCAGGGTATCGGTAATATATTTGTAATTTCATATACGTGTGGAATATCAATCATTTTTCGATTCGCACGATGTTACCAAAAGGCTCGGATGAAGTTTGCCATACATTCG